CATCCCCGCCAAATTCCATCAAAATAACGACATTCATCTCTGCAAACATATAGGATTTAAAGCCATCAACAAACAACAAATTGATTGCAAAAAGGAACTGCTCATAGAGTCAAATGCAATGTTTGCAGCATTCCAGAGACCCACATAAGGATAATTTTGACAACGAAATATGGGATCCAGATGCGACAGATTAAACAGGCAACAAGGACGCTTGTACATCACAGAGTCACTCTTGCTCAGAACTACTAAACATCTCAAATGATGTAGTTGAAGTTTAGGCAGTAAAGATTGAAAACCAAAACCATGTCACTGTGGTTGTATACAAGCCTACGGATATAACTTCCCATCAATTCCAGGAACAGCTTGTGAAAATTGACCACTGTCTGGAAAAATCTCCCAACTCTGCCCAAACATCTTGCTACTGGGAGATTTCAACTTGAGACACCTAAAATGGAAGAGTGTAGCAAATAATATTTTAGCAGAGATCACCCCAGGAGACAGCTCAGATGAAAATTCACGCACACACACACACGAGCTATTAAATATCTGCACCAAATTCACTTTAAAGCTACTGGACCACTAAGACAAGGTCCTGGATGCTACAGAGGATTATCAAAATGCAGATGTGGTATAAACAGACATTGCAAAAGCCTTCGACAAATGCGACCATGGCGTAACAGTGCACAAAATGCTGTGATAAAGGAATAACACGAAAAGGTTGGTGGATGTATCTATAACTTCCTAACAAATAGAACAGAAAGAGTAATAGTAAACAGAGTAAAGTCTGAGGCAGCTACGGTGAAAAGCTCTGTTCACAAAGAACAGTACTCGGTCCAATCCTATTCCTCATCCTCATATCTGACATAGAGATGTAAACCATAGCTCTGTGTCTTCCTTTGTAGATGAGACCCGAATTGCCATGACAGAGTCCTCCCTCGAAGACACGACAAGACTCCAAGTGGACATCAACCAAATCTTCAAATGGGCTACTCAAAACAATATGAAGTTCAATGAAGAGAAATTTCAACTACTCAGATATGGAAAACTTGAAGAAATTAAAACTGTATCAGGGTATACAACAAATTCTAACCATACAACAGAGCGAAAAAATAATGTGAAGGACCTGGGGGGCATAATGTCATTGGATCTCACCTTCAAAGACCACAACAATGTATCTACCGCATCTGCTAGAAAAAATGATAGGATGACTAATGAGAACCTTCAAAATTAGGGACGCCAAACCCATGATGAGTCTCTTCAAATCGCTTGTTCGCTCTAGGCTGGAATACTGCTGTACACTAACTGCCCCCTTCAAGACTGGCGACATTGCAGACCTGGAGAGTGTACAAAGAACTTTCACGGCACACATAAGTACGATAAGGCACCTAAATTACTGGGAAACGATTGAAGGGCCTTGATCTGTATTCCCTAGAACGCAGGTGAGAAAAATACACATGGAAAATCCTAGAGGGATTGATACTAAACTTGCACACGAAAATCACTCCCTATGAAAGCAAAAGACTCGGCAGGAGATGCAACATTCCGCCAATGAAAAGCAGGGGCGCCACGAGTACACTGAGAGACATTACAGTAAGTGTCAGTGCCCAAGACTGTTCTACTGCCTCCCAGCATACATAAGGGGGATTACCAATAGACCTCTGGCTGTCTTCCAAGAAGACACTGGACAGGCACCTAAGTACCTGACCAGCTGGGCTGTGGTTCGTACATCATTTTGCGTGTGGCCAGAAGTAACAGGCTGGTTGATCAGACCCTGATTCACCACGAGGCCTGATCTGAGACCGTCCCGCGAAAGCGTTGACTCTCGAAACCCTCTCCAGGTTTACTGGGGGAATACAATCCAGCGAGAAATTTTAAGTCAAAAATCGTCATACACTTAAAAATTTTTTTTACTAAACACCTAAAATAAATATATTTTGAATTTTTGGCAAAAAAGGTCAAAAAATCAATACCTTGTCATTGTGGTTTTACAAGGGCCCCCCCGGGAAATGCAACTTCCCAAAAATTTCCGGGAAACCCAACTCTTGAAAACAAACCTCTGTCTGGAAAATTTTCCCCGGCCCCTCCCCCAAACATCTTGCTGCTGGGGGATTTCAATTAAACACCACAAAAAGAAAAACTGAAAGCAAAAAAAGGTCTTGGGCAAAGAAAACCCCCCAAGGAGGCCGCTAAATTTAAAAATTCACCACAAAAAACCTAATAAAATCTTTGCACCACACTCACCTTAAACCAGAAAAAAGGGGAACCCAAAAACAAAATGGAAATAAACTGGACCTCATCTTCACTAACAAAGAGGTCTGATGCGGATATAATTATCAAAGCCCTTACACTCGTTTCAAAAAAATTTTAAGGTAAAGAAATGTAAGCACAGGGCTCCTGACCAGCAAAATGTGATCTTTTTAAGAGGGGGGCCTTCATAAAATTAAATTTTCGAAAAAAAAACATTGGGGGATCATGTCAAAAAGCAACATCCAGTAATGGGATCCGTTAGACAAAATGGGATTTACGCAATAACAGTAAAAAAATGATTGAATACTAAAGTCTCTGTTGCTCTATTTTATTTAAGCCGAAAACCAGCTAAGATGAAATCCAAAAATAATTTTTTATGCCCGAGATTCAAAATTTGATAAATTCCCAAACGTCTTTTGATTTTTTTACAAACACCAAAAGGACTTAAAAAAGGGGCAATTAATGACCATGCCTTTTGCATTTCTGCCCTTTGGCCCAGATTGGGGAAACTCCGTGTTCTTAAAGAACGGCAATTTGCCCCTGTTTTTCGTCCCTTTAGCATTCAAGGGAAGAGGGGCAGGGACACGGGGGTCATCCCAAAGTTACAAAAAAAACAACGGGACTTTATTCCCCACTCCACAAAAGGGGCAGTAAAGCGTAGCAAAAAATTTTACAGACCAATACCCGTAACTTTCCCAAAAAATAAAAATCTTCAAAAGGGTTTTCGGGAAGCAAAAACCCCCCCCATCAAGAAACCAATCAGTTGCCAACCAGGAAAACAGGGGTTTTTATGCAGGTCACTATTCCGCCCCCAAACTGGATGATCATGAAAAGGGTCTTGGATGCTCTAGGGGACAAAAAAAATTCAGATGTAGTCCCACATGATTTTTACGACAGCCTTCGAAAAAGTGTAAACCATGGTGAAATTTGCACAAAAAAATGTGTGAAAAAAAGGAAAAATTTGGGAAAAGTTGGTAGATTTTTTATAATTTCCCTAACAAACAAGCACAAAGGGGTAATAGAAAAAAACAGAAAAAAGCTCGAGGGGGCCACAGTGAAAAGCTCTTTTCCCAAAAGGGCCCCAGTTCTCGCTCCCATCCTTTTTCCTCATCCTCATATCTGAGGGAGCAGATATGAAAACCACCCCAAACTGTTTTTTCCCTTTTGGAAAAATACCCGACTTTGCATGCAGTGTCCCCCATTAAAGGACACTGCAAGACTTCAACCCGGACATCAACCAAATTTTTAACGGGCCCCGCAAAAAACAATATAAAAGTTCAATAAAGAAAAAATTTTAAATTTCTTATATGGAAATTTGGGGAAAATTTTAAAAACTATATCGGGGGTTAAAACGAATTCCAACCACACAAAAAAGCGAAAAACCCAAATGTGAAGGCCCGGGGATTTAAAAATGTCAGGGGGATCCCCACTTTAAAAGTTTAGAAAAAATGCATCCACCACATCTGTTTGGGATGGATAATGAAACCAAAAAAAATAGGGCGCCAACCCCATGCGGGATCATGTCAAAAATACAATAAAATAAAAAAAATACTGAGAAACAGTTGAATTTCCCCTTGACTTTTTTTCCCTGGAATGCAGGCAGGAAGATAATGATAATTTACCCCTAAAAAAACCCCCAAAAGGGCTTTTTATTTTTAAAAACTTTTGCCACGAAAAACACTCCCTTTGAAAGCAAAAGACTCGGCGGGGGCGGTGCAACCCCCCCCGAAGAAAAGCAGAAAACGCCACGATTTACAAAAAGGGGACAATACGGAAAGGGGTTTGGGGCCCTAGACTAATCAAAACTGCCTCCCCCATACATAAGGACCCCCGGGTGTCTTCAAGAAAGCGCTGGACAGGCACCTAAAGGGTTTGCACCCGGCCAGAGGTTTCCCTCAGTCCACGTCGGCGAGCAGCCAGCCCGGTTGAGACCTGGTTTACCCGACTGGGTTTGCGGGGGGCATTGACCCCCCAAAACCCTCTCCGGTGTTTCACCAAAGAATAGAAAAAAAATGTGGCCCCCACTGTGGCCCTAATGCACATTTTTAGGTAAAAATTATTTTGTTGTTAGAGCACTAGCTTGCTAATTTTTGTAGTTAGAGCAAATACTTGCTTTTAATTTTTTGGGGGGCTTGACATGGGGTTTTAATTTCACAAAAAGAACTGAGAGAGAGAAAACGTATGACAGGACACGAAAAATTGGGTTTCAGTAGCCGATTATCCCCCTTTAAAATTCTTTCGTTTGTGGGGTTATTGTTTAAAAATGAAATACTGTGATTTTTCCCCGTGGGTCTGTCTGTTAGGAAAAACTTTTCCTTCACACGCTGAAGTCCCCGGGGTTGATTTCCCGGGAAGAGTGGAAACATTGGGCGTGTTTCCCACAAATGGTTGTCTATGTTCACCATCAGTAAAATGGGGAAACCTGGTTTTGGGTCCCTTTCCGGGGGCAAAAGTTTACCGAAATGCTTGCAAACAAGGGGCTATATTGTAGTTTTTTCAAAGATGTTTTTGGGGGCTTTGGATGTATACCTTTTTCCCGTAATGGAGAAATAAAGACTTTTATTAAATTTAAATTTTTTAAACCCCTTTTTTTAACTTTTGCTTTTATTTAAAATTTTATACTTTTTTGCACATTACTTTCTTTGCAGAGACAAATTTTGCACAGTTTAGTAAAGGATATTATTTTTTTTTTATTCTTTAACCCCTTTCCCAAATCTAGTGAATAATGTGTTTTGGGCAAAAAATTTATGTACATGGTGGGCTCGGTGTTTTCCCGAGGGGGCAGAGAAAATCTGGAAACCAAGTGTAACCACACTGGCCCCCCCCTTTCCCATCTTATGGACATTCCTGTCTTCTCCAGTTCTTCGGGGAACCTTATAGAAATATCTTTTGTGCAAAAAAAGTCCCTCGCGACTTCTCTGTTTAGAGATATAATTTTTTGCCTCAGCTGTTCAATGAACCTGAATTTTACAACTCAGTTGGAAAAAAAAATGACCTTTCCATCCCCCGGGGAGCTCAATGGACCTTGCCAGATAAAATTTATCGATGAGGGTGGGCTGGGTGGGAAAAGCGGTTTGCACCTGATTCTCAAAAACCCCTTTTTTTCTATGTTTCCCTGTTGTTTTAAAAGTTCCTTTTTCCTTTAACTTTGGATCGTTGGGCATTGAGCACTGATCGATCCTGCATGACGAACTGGGCCCGTGAAGGAAATTCAGCGCGTGTTCTTCATACAAATTTTTACGGAAAGTGTCTGCTACTGTGGAAAAAGAACCCGGGGTTGTGCTGTGTGTAATGGACCTTTGGGAAAAAGAAAACGAGTGATTTTTAAGGACTCAATTCCTTTGGGTTTTTTAAAATTTTTCTTTGGGGCCCCCCCCCCCTCTTTTTTGACTGATTTTTATCATTGTTTGGGGAATGTGGGACAAACCCGGTGGAATATTTTTTCACCCCAGCTGTGAAGACGCCTTTGTGGCTTCCTCTTTACTTTGGCGATGGCAAAAAGTTTAAGGGGAAAACAGGAAGGCGTTGAAGGGCGCTCCTAAACCCAACATTTCCTGCCTTTCACAATTTGATTTCAATCGTGATTTAAACTTTAAAGTTCCCAACCAGAGTATCTACCTCAACCACACTGAACAGATATATGATTTAGGAGAGTATGAGTTCAATAACTCATGGATAAGAGTATGTAGGTCAGATAGGCACTGGACACCCTTTATGAACAAGCTGTCAGCTGCACTTATCTCCATCTCACTAGTATGCATGTTCTTGCACCTGACCATTTTCGTGGCCCTCCCCAATAGGCGCAACATTCCCAGTATGAATCTCGCTTCCATGACTTTTTCTCTTTTAATAGCTGAATTTATATTTATGAATTTTTTTTACGTGAAGGATAACTACACCGCTTGCATCTTTATTGGTGTTCTCATTTATTATTTCTTAAGTGCATCATTTCTATGGATGAACGTCATGAGCATCGACATCTGCAGAACTTTTCTCTCAAGAACATACAAGTTGAAGTCTTGCGCAACATTCATCCAGTATTCGATATATGCATGGTCAGTGCCGCTAGTTGGGTCTCTGACGGCTTTCTTGTAGTCAATTCATTCACTTTGACTTCCTATTATCACCTCAGTTTGGAACAAACATATGCTGGTTCAACAACATATGGGGCCTAGCGGCATTTTTCACGTTCCCGGCCGGGCTTGTGTTCTTCATTAACATTATGTTATACGCAGTGTCTGTGTACAATATATACATGCAGATGAAGTCGGGAGAATTTGCCTCGTCGACTGTACGCAAGAACAGCGGGCAGCAGCGAAGCGATAAGAAGAAACCCATTGCAAATGATAACAGTATTGGAGAAAATGACTCACCAAGATGCGCTGAACGTATAAAAGAAAGAATTCAGAGGCGAATCCAAGCCCACAAGAAACAACGAGTGCGGCTGGTACTGTACTGCAAACTAGCCCTTATGATGGGCTTGACCTGGGGATTTTCTTTCATATCTATTCATACCAGACATGTAGTCTTTGATTATCTATTTATTATCTTTAATGGACTTCAAGGAACATTTATCTTCATTGCTTTCGACTGTAAGCAAAAACTGTGGAACGAAATTCGTCAGAAAATATCTAGCAAAGAAACTTTTATGATGAAAAGTTCGAGTATTTCATCGACCAAGTCCACAACACAAGGGACATCTTCAGGTGCTGGAACACAACCTCCAGGTGGTGGCTATAGGTACCGCTGGTCTTCTAGTCTCCGCCAGGATGGAAGGCACAAGTACTCTGCGGTGTCTGCTGACCCCAAGGAGCCGCACCTCTCGGACAACAAGAACGAAAGTGACGTTTAAAATACTGAAAACCATTTCTAATGATTTAACAGATGATGGAAAAAAAAGACTATTAATTAAGAAAACCAAAGAAGAAAAAAAGTTCATTAGGCCGTGATATATGGCTTCTGTAGCTGGAAGTTCTATGTACAACCAGCTTTTTATTGAGATAGTTTTACTCTGTGTTTAAATCTTGGTCTAAGCTGATCGGTACTTCGCCCCGGCTAAAGCTTGTTCTGCAAATGTGTCTTAGTTTCACTACTATCGGCAGCAGCATGCCACCTAGATGTAGCTGCAAACTGTCTGTGTTAATTGTGATGTTGCAGTTAATTATGTTCACCTTCGAAGCTATCAGTATTAAGTAACTTCATCATGCGATTACCTGAGTTCAACATAACTAATTATATTTAAAAATCAACATCTGTACTTCATTACGCTTAGAGAAAGAATTTGCATTTGTAGGTTAAATTAAGTAAGGTTTGACAGAAAACAGGACAAGTGTTTCCTGACGCGGGTCTTAATCATATGATGACCTGCAGCTGGAGCTTTCGGTCATCTGACAGAGGCCTTCCACTGGCTTACCCTTTAAAAAATTTTAATTATAATTATTGTTAAATAGTAGTATATATGTAGTTATCAATGCATACTACAACTACTTGACTAGACTTGATTAGGTGTCCCGTAGCTCGATCGCTAGCGCACTCACCTCACACACTGAGGTCCGGAGTTCGAATCTCCGGTACAGTTGGAAAACATTAAGACTTATTTCCATAAGACACCTGCTGTCCCTGTTCACCCATCAGTATAAAGTAGGTACCTGGGTGTTAGTGGACTGGTGTGGGTCGCATCCTGGGACAAAACTGACCTAATTCGCCCGAAATGCTCAGCATAACAAGCGGCTTTCTACATAGTAGTATGTCATTGATGTCAGCTCGGACTGTATACCTTGTACATGTATTTGTGGTAAATAAAGATATTATTATTATTATTAAAGTGCTCTAAATGCTGGGGTAAAACACTGATTTTTTTAGAGGATTTCAGTCAGTGAAGAGCAGAAAAAAGGGGACAAGAATCACATGAGATTTTGAAAAAAAAAAAACTCATTTCTTATCCAATTTATTTTCATGACTGAATTACGTCTTACAAAATTAATCTCAAATCTAGTGAATACAAATTTTACAAAAAATTATAAAGAGAAAAAGAGTCTTAAATGTGATTACTGCTTCTTGTAGTTTGTTAGATGTAAACTGAAGTACCTCTACCACCCCTCGAGGTGCCTTGGTGCCGGTGAAGGGCCTCTTGATCCATGGAAGTGGAGCTGCTTCCTCCCGTTCTTCTGTTCGAATCTGAATGAGTCTCACTCTTTGGGCGATGAATGACCCGCACAGGTTTAACGCCCCCTATATTGTGCGCCCCATACCCATCCTGTGGGCGGTAGTCAAAATATTACAGAGGTACATAATGGGCCCAGGAACTGAAACACAAAGTTTTGATAGCTGAATATGTTACAGTGGTAGTGAATTATTTACATGTTAATATCTGGTTACAATCGTAGTGAGTTATTTATGCAGACATGAATTAGGTCACACACACACAAGTTTAAGTTATGTGTTATTTACAGGGGGGCAAAAATCAGGGTATTTTTCCTGAATGGTTGGCAGTATACCACCGTGGATAAAAGTTTTTGACATTTGAACATTTCTGAGTGAGTTGTCTCTACCTTGTTAATTTATCTCGTTATCATGTCCCTCTGTCCCTTTTGTCCTCCAGTGTTGTCAAGTCGATTTTCCTTAAGTTCTCGTAGGACATGCCCCTTAGGTCCAGGACTAGTCTTGTTGCAAACTTTCGCAAAATCTCTAATTTCTTGACATGCTTGACCAGGTGTGGGTTCCAAACTGGTGCTGCATACTCCAGTAAGGGGAAAAGTTCTTGAGAAAGTCATTTCCAACAGATTGAACTACTATATGGAGTTTAATCACTTTTTTACTGAAAAACAATTTGGCTTTAGAACACATAGAGGTACCAATGATGCAATAAATGTTATTTTCGATACTGTAGCAAGTCTAAAACATCAGGGGAATCTTGCCTTAATTGCCACCAGAGATGTTCATAAAGCTTTTGATAGCTTATGGCATGATGGTCTTATATACAAACTCATTGACCTACCAGACCATAACTGGACTTTTCTCAGAGTAATATATAATTTCTTAACTCAAAGAAAAATCATTCCCACCTTTCATGGCAGGTCGGCAGAGCCTATTATACCGACAGCTGGTGTCCCACAAGGTTCTTGTCTCAGTCCACTTCTGTTTAACATTTATCCAAATTCAAATTCAAATTCAAATTCAAAGTTTATTCTCTATAAAGATTACAATTTTGAATTTACAGAATTTGGTTGTTGTGTGGTTTACATGTAGCTAAATAATGATTACAGAGTGTACCACTAGAACGCCTAGCATGGCTAGGCATTTCGGGCAGACTTAGTTTAATTCTTTATTTTAAAATATTACAAATTATGAGGTAAGTTGGTATTATGGCTAAGTGACTAAATACTAGTTTGTGAGTTTAGCAATGTGAATGCTTTTGTTTTGGCACAGTACATAGTTTCAGTATTGGAGTATCATAGGATTCATTATTTTAAGATTGAGATTAATATTTCTGTTTATGGTCAAATGGGTGAGTGAGTGTAAGTGTGAACCACCAGGTGGTATTCGTGTAGTTAGTTGATGGGGTTTATCAGGGAGATAAGATGTTTTCTAACGGTAGTTTTGAAGGTGATGAATGTGTCTGCAGTTCTAGAGTTCTCAGGTAGGGTGTTCCAGATTTTAGGGCCTTTGACATACATTGAATTTTTGTAAAGGTTTAGTCGGACATGGGGAATGTCGTAGAGATGTTTGTGTCTGTGGGTTCTGTCACAACCATCAAGAAAGCGTTTTAGGTCAAGGTTGATATTGGAGTTTAAGGTCCTGTAGATGTAGATTGCACAGTAGTAAGTGTGGATGTACTGAACAGGGAGTAAGTTTAGATCTATGAAGAGTGGGGGGGTGTGTTGCCAGGGATGGGATTTAGTGATTATTCTTACTGCAGCTTTTTGTTGGGTTATTATTGGCTTTAGGTGTGTTGCTGCAGTTGATCCCCAAGCACAAATAGCATAGGTGAGGTATGGATAAATAATTGAGTGGTATAGTGTGAGAAGGGCATTTTGCGGCACGTAGTATCGTATCTTGGAGAGGATCCCAACTGTTTTGGATACTTTTTTGGTTATGTGTTGGATATGGGTGCTGAAATTCAGGTTGTTGTCAAGGTATAGGCCTAGGAATTTGCCCTCATTATGTCTGGTAATTAGAGTGTTGTCGATCTTAGAGTATGAATTATAATATAAACTTATAATATAAAAATACAAATTGAAATGGTACTTGCAATTGCACTAGAGTCTGGTATAGGTTGTTGACAAGATCAAGAGTATAACTAGATTTAAATTGACAAAATAAAATTCACAATTAAAGTATCAAAAGAATAATAGTAAAAAATAACAATGGTAATGTCTTGGTTATAATATGATAGTAAAGGTAGACAGGTACAACAATAAGGTAACAAAAGGACCAT